GGGAGGGGGCGGGGGGCGCAGCACTCCCCCCTCCCCGCCGCCGCCGCCGTGACAAAGCAGAGCGGGCGCAGCACGGCCCCGCCGCGTCGGGGGGACACCGGAGAGATCGGGGGGCAGCGGGGCGGATTGRGGAGGCGTCCTCCCCGCACCCCTCCGCAGCGCACGGTGCGCCCCCCGCCCCGTCCCTCCGCAGCCGCGGGGGCCGCTCGCTCGCTCGCGCTCCCCGTTTTCTCCTCTTTGCCCGTTCCCGTGGCTCCCACCCGCCCTCCATCCCATTTTCCTCTGGAATCCAAAGTTTTCCCYGCAGCCAAGCAGGAAAGTTGGAGCTCAGCACCGCTGCGGCAGCCGGGGCCGGGGGTCCCGTTGTCCCGGGGATGCCTTTGGCCAGAGTCCCGCCGGTCCCAGGGGTGCCCGTGACAGCCCGGCCTCGCCCCACRCTCCCTCTCTTGCATAACCGGGGCTGCTTCTCCGGGAGCCGCGATGCCCGGCTGCGGAGTTTGGCTGTGACCGGGCCTGGTGGCATTGGGAATGTGTTTATCCAGCGACCGGGCTGTCCGTTCCCCCCGTCCGTGTGTCCGTTTGTCCAACCTCCCCCCATCCCTTCATCCAGCTCCCTGCCAGCCGCTCGTTCCCAAGCCGTGCACGTCGCGTTCCCGGCCCTTATTGATCTATTCAGTAAATACTTGAGCTCGTCAGCTCCATGGCCGGGCTGGGAATGTGCGAGGGGCCGCTCTTGGCAGCGCCCGTGCTCCGTGCTGGCAGCCGATCCAGCCGGGAACCGGCGGCCGTGGCGAAGTTCCTCGCAACGCCTGGACGCGCAGAGCTGTTTTTCCTTTTAAAAGCAGGGAATTTGGGTGTTGGGGGGGGGGGGGGTTGTCTCAGCTTTCCTGTTCCAGATTCCCCCCTGTCCGCATGGGAATGGCCTGGTGAAATGAGAGGCCGGAATGATGGATGAGCGAGAAGGTTTTTTTTTTTTGGAGGGAGGTTTTTCTGTCCCATTTCTTTGCCCACTTTAGAGCGAAGTGGGAGAAGGGATTTGGTGTCGTGGCAGTGGCAGCATCTGACCCGTCACCGGGTCGGAGGGATGGAGGAGGAGGAGGAGGAGGTTTGGGCAAAYGCCAGATCCCTGCCCCAGATTCATGTCTGGGGCTGCAGGAGGCCGGAGCCTGCGGTTTCCAATCCTCCAACCCCTCCTCGCCCTACCGGGGATGCGGGCGCTTGATCTGTGTCCCTTGGAGGGAGGTGACAGGAGCGGAGCAGCTCAGGGCACCCTGCAACCCCCGCCTTGGTGGCACCTGCGGGGCTGATTGAGCCGCTGGCACTCGCCCGGTGAGCTCGGCAGTGCAGGTGGCCAACAGCTGAGCCCTCTGGGGTCACCTCTCCAGGGACCCGAGGTCTCAGAGGCATCATCCCCTGCCCGGAGGTGGCTCGGAGCAGCCGGCGGCTCCAGAAGTTGGTGGGGGCGGAAGGGAGGCATCGCTCATTGCATAAGCTGCGTTGCCTTTGGAAACCGGGCTGCGGAAAGATGATGAGCTGGAGGGAAGTTCCTCCATCCTCTGCTCCACCCCGGGAGCCAGAGTGGGGTACAGGCACCCCTTCCTCCCGGTGCACCTTCCCCTCCACTTTGGGGGCTCTCCTTTGGGGGTCACGTTGGGGCGGGGTGCTGTTCCACCACCTCGGGGTGCTGGGAACTGTGCGAGCCTGTGGGTGGGAGGATGTGGAGGCATGTGGCGGATGTGGAGGCACCGCAAGCGTGTGGTTGGGCTGATTGGATGGCAGAATGTGCCACCAAGGTGCCACCTGAGCTGTGCTGGTGGTCCTGGCTGGGCTCTGGTTTCCCTGATGCAGGTTTCCCACTGATGCAGTGGG